GCACAACCCTCCCCCTGACCTGAGACAGTGGTGTAACAGTACAACATAAGAACAAACTTTAAAATCCAGTTGAAAAAGTTAATCTGAAATAAAGGCAACAGTAGTATACCGCTGTTCAATAGTCATAAATCGATTCAGCTGAAACAAATCCGGGTCACAAACCAAAACCGAGGGAAACATATAAACTATAAGAGGAAAACAACGGAACAACATAAACACTGAACTGCTACAAAAACAAACGCCAACATACATAGAAACGGACTATTTGATAACAACTGCCATATTTCTGACTTGATACAGGACATTTTAAGAAAAAATAGTTGGTTGAACCTGGTTTTATGGCTAGCCTAACCTCCTGAAATCGGTATGAATAAAAGGGATGCGTGTGTACATCAACGAGACAGTATCCTAACGACGAAGATTACCAAAACTACATCTAGAGAGAGCCACAGTCTTTATTAATGCACAGTGTCTATATATTATGTCAAGCTAACAGAAGCTATTAAATATTTGCCATCAATACCAATTCCTCATTATCACAAACAAAATTAAGATAAGACAACAATTTTACAGGGTTTGTATTTTTGAAATAGATGTTTTACAGTTGTATAATTTTTGAAAGACATAAAATAGGATTTTAAGTCGACATTGTATTCAGACTTGATTTGCAAGATCCATTTTATCCCATTTGTAAGGGTACTTCATAGTTGAAAAATAACCAGTTCAGAAATTAAGTGAAACCATGATATGAACAGAATAATAACGCAAGAGATATCTTTATGGTATTTCCTGAGATGTTACATTTGTCATTACAGCATTAAAACCTGTGCACATATTTAAACATTATAAAACATGGGACCAGAAAACTTCACAAAATCCAACATAAAGGCTAAAATAAAATGAAGTAACACAAATATACATCTAATCGTCTTCAATTAAACAAAAATGTCATGTAAGTGATAAGATTCATTAGTGACAACATTTTATTATTATAGATCATTTTGCTTAAGATTTCAAGCTTTTCAGTAACTGTCTAATTTTAAAACAAAAAACAAACAAAAACATAGAAATAAAAACTGAACGAAACTTTCGTATTGTACATGTAATTAACAACTTTCCGATTGTATTAATATGAAAATCTCATAGCTTGACTTGAACACATGTACGTCCTTTCTCAAATATTCAGGACACCTTAGTTATGAGTATTTGGATGTAAAGAGTTTCAACAAGTTTTGTCTTTTGTGTTAATTTGTAAAATAGAGGCTATATCAGTTTACAGATGTGTCAATTATTTTTCTACTTAGTATGAGCACCATAACGGGTGAACAAAATATGCTTACCCGTCTAGACCACGCGTGTTTTTGCTTGGGCTCGCGTTGCTCAGTCTTTAAAATCTGTGGAGTGTTTTGCACCATTTGTCAGGAATATGACAGTTGTTTTCCACTCGTTTGATATGTTTTAGCTTTTGATTTTGCCATTTGATAAAGGACTTTCCGATTTCAATATTCCAGGTCGGTATTTTTGTTATTTTACTTTTTGTTTGTCTCTTTGTTGCTTTATCATTGCCATGGTTTTGTGTGTTCTCTTTGGTTGATGATTTTTTATTGCATCCTTGGTATTGTCTGCCTTTTTTTATGAATAAACAAATCAAGTTAAAGTATCTGCGAGAATCGCAAAAATTAGAAAGCAGCCAGACCTGTGTTGTCGATGGAGTAAGTTGCTTTGGATGCATTACTCACCAAATCCACACAAATCCAACCTCAATTAAAATATCACAATAGGTAATAGATAAACTAAAATATATTTTTAGGATGATATGAATTACCCTAAAGTTATACGAACTTCTGGTAATGACGCAAATATAGATAACATAAAATGCCAATAAACGGCGGTCACTGTCAAATTAACACATTCGTTTATTTCATTAATGTTTACATTAAGAAGAATACTGGAGACACAACAACAAATTGTATGTACCCCATCTAAACAAAACACTTTTTATCCTCCCCTTTTTGAGTTAATTTGATTTGATTTAGTTATGTACACCTATATAAATATGTTTTTATATCGATCTTTTATATCACTAAACTCCAAATTGTCAAAATTAAGGTTTCGTGTCTGACAGGCAAATGGTTTGAACGCAATTCAATGAAATTTTTGACATATTGTTTTGAGGTTAGACTTTGGCCATTGCTTTTTAGAAAATTAGAGCCACGTGCACATTTGCCATTACTGTTCTCAATCAGAACAATCTAATGAATATGCATGTATTTATACGTATATTAAATCAAGATTTATATCGATGTGATATTTTTGTAATTGCTGTAATAATGTATTCCTCTAATTATACCTGTACATTGCCATTTTAATGTGTACCTGCTAAACAATTCAGATGTAAAGAGTGTCTTCATTATTATCTTTTACTTTACTTTGTAAATACGAGGCAACACAGAAAAGTCTTAAATGATGTTCGCTTCCCAATAAAACGTTTTTGGTGTAATGGTGTATTCTGCAAAGGGAAATGGTGTATGGTGCATGATGAAAAGTGTTTGGTATTTAAAATTATGTTTGTTTTATAACAAATATATTTAAATTTATTTAAGGAATGACTAGTATTGTTTCTGTCTATGAAGAAATAACTTCAAAAAATGTGGTGCACTCTGAACTACGCGGGTTATTTAAAAGTGTCCACCACATTTTTAGGTTATTTCAATGGACAGAAAAAATATTACAGTCATTCCTTATAATTTAAATCTAAATTCAATTTTAAGCAGTAAATCACGTAAAAACGTTGATGATGTCACGGTCACATGACAAAATTATGTCTATGAGCTGATAGACAAAAAAACTCTCAGCTAATAGGATTAAAAGCCTTTTTAAAGGAATTTATTGGTGTATTAACTGGACCAATTCACTCACTAACAAATAAACAATACATTTCTTTAAAAAGGCGTTTAATCCTTAAAATGCTTTACAATTGGGGATAATTTCCCCACTCGCAACCTCTATCACACGTTAATTGTATATTTATGTCATTGAATTGGCCTGGCGCATGAACATATTTTTTGGTTAACGCAAACAATGTACTCCATGAAATTTTGTATTTGATAAAAAATAATCTACACAAATATTTTATTATCATTCAAATGAATGTTTTGTGCTTATTTTTTAATTTAACGTTGAACGCGAAGTGAAAATAACGTCGAGTCGGTTTGTGTTATTATCGCCGCCATCTTGTTTACATTGGTTACAAAATGTAGTTTCGTCAACGTCGTCTATCGAAAGATAAATAACTTCAAGAGCCATTACCGGAAGCCCTCTTGACCAGTCATATAAATGTATCCCCTAATATCCATAAAATATAAGAATTATTGAAATTTAAATCATGCAAGGACTGTAGTTTACCGAGGTTCAGATATTGTATTTTCAATGTTTACTTGTTATGAGTAACACAACAGCAGCCACTAGCGGCAAAGGAAAAGGTTTGCCTGGCGGAGCATCAGGAATGTGGGAAGGGTTTGCGTTTTGCAGACATACGTTATTATATGATGTTCTTTTAAAATGTTTTTTTTTTTTTTTTTCATTTTTGTAATTTTTTCACTGATACCATGGTGTTTTATGTTTTTCTTCGATTTATTACATGTATGTTTGATGGTCTCCAAACAACTTTAAAAGTTGAAAACTGCTTTTTTCTGATGATTGTGCAAAAGAATTAGAAATAACTGAGAAAATTAACTCATAAAGGAACGATATTGCTTGAGTTTACACGAAAAGCGTGTCCTATTTTGGAGATTTCAACCGCCATGCAGATTCAATCAAAATGTCACGATAGGGAATTGAAAAACATATAGATACTTATTATAATAATATACATTACCCTAAAGGCATGTGAACTTTTGGTAATGAAGCAAATACAGTTAATATAAAAAACCAGTAAATGGCGGTGACTGTGAAGTTAACACATTTGTTCAAAAAGAAGTGGATGATATTCCCAGTGTCCTTTCTAATGTTTTCAATAAGAAAAACAACAAATTGTATCTATCCAATCTATACAAAATTACTTGTTTCTTTTCGTGGTTTCAAGTTTATTTGATTTGATAAATGTGTATGCTCCTGTATGAAGTGGGTTTTAGCATTGATCTTTTGGTTTAAGCTTCCATTATGCCTTATACACGATACTTTTCGACATTTAAATCGTCGTAACAAACCTAACATTTCTGATGGATAAATGAATTGCACGCAACACAATGTAATTCAGAACGTTATCACACTTTTGTAAAGAAACTTACTGTACCATTTCAAATTAACTGTTTTAAGGTAGAGCGGAATTCCAGATAAATTCTTGATTACAAATAGCAGCAGTATTGGTCATTTTTTACTAAAATTAGCAAATTAAAATTAGCAAAAATAGAATTTATTTAAGAAAAAAACTTTCATTCAAATACGTTAAAACACAAGGTCTTTAAACTCTATCTTGTGGGAACATTCTTGTAAATGAAATGGAAATATTTTCACGGGATAAACAATCAGATAAATCAGATTATTTGATTTTATAAGAGAGAGTATAGTAAATTAACCTACTTTCGTTTTATTTTCTGAACGCACAATATAACTGTTGTCCTCTAGTTTTTCATTATGAAATTTTATAGTTTACTTTCTTTCTATTCACATTGAGTGCTTTTTCCATATATCATCTTCGCACAATCTTACTATTTTACACAAACTGCAGCTTGAAAAAAAAAAAACTAGTAGACCTATACTATTTATCATATTTTTTGGCTTAGCATGTAAACGTTATCATTGTTTTTAATTTTAAATCCCCATTTATCTTAATTCAGAGCAATCTAATATAAATAGAATATATCTTTATGTTTATGTATAGGCTTGTGGTATGTTTTAAAGTAAACAGTGTTCGACCATGACTGTTTTCTTACAGAAAAACCAATTTGAGTAGTGATGATGAAGATCTAAATAGTACTTGTGATGAAAAAAAAACTTACCTGAGGTAAACTAAATAAGGCACTGAGTATCCAAGATATAACAATCATGACTTTAACTCTTTTTGGAGCTTTGTGACGACTTATTGGGTCCATAATCACGCAACAACGATCTAGACTTATCACAACAGTAATATATGTGGACGCAAGTAAACCAGTAGCAGTACCAAATTTTACTATTTTACACATGACGTTTCCAGCTAACCACTGGACTGTTGAAGCCCAAACCGCATCAACTCCCATTATAAAAAATGTTATTAACAAATCGGCCACTGCCAAATTGACAATTAATGTATTTATTGTTGATCTTCTCTTCCGTATTCTGTACATTTGGATGATGGTTGCTGTGTTTCCTATCAGGGCCATCAGAAACATAAGACTAAACACAATAGTTCTTGTCATAAGAGCTTCATTGAATGATGGTGGTTGTCCACTTTTTAGTGTCCATCTCGTACGATTATCGTTTTCATCAATAAAAAACGTCAAATTGTAGGTTAAATTCTTATCCATAGCACAGAATGGTAGTCTTAAAAATTTTAACAATTGAGTAACATCCCAAGAGAAACGAGTGTTCTTGTAAATTTGATATAAAACTTTAACCACTAAATTTGATGTATGTTAATTTTACTTTTAAAAATAATAATTACAAATTAATTTTGAGCAATATACTTCAGATAATAATGGAAAGCGAGCAAATGAATATCCTGTATGTTAAACCATATTTATATTCTTATACTATGACATGCATTGATTCGCTACTTATTTTTATTTTCCGTATAAGGCTTATGTATAGCGTTATTGGTCAAATCATGTAGCAGCTGCTTGATTGACATTAAACATTAACCGTGAAAACGATATGTTATGCCAATTAATTGAAGATATTTGACATAAACTCATCAGATAAATATCTAATATCACGTGTTTCCAATACAGCTTTCTAGACGATAAATAGGGATGTGATAAGTAATTATCCCCTTATATTATGCGATGATTACATATTGACATCATATCAGCTACCAAGAGTTTACTTGATCCAAATCATTAGCATTTACAAGTTTTTGAAGCTTACAATGATAATGAAAATAACAGTTTATAAATTCTTTCGTCGAAAGCGATTCTGTGGGTTTACTCTTATCAAGAACGCTCACTCAAATATTGCAAAGCCAGGAGGTATCAATACTTGAGTCTGAAAGAGCTATATAGCCAAAGGGACTTAAAAAGATTAGCCGCCATATCAACTTCGAGTCATCTTTGTGTGAGGGAATTAGAACCTTAAATTCTTAATGATTTCTAAATGTATCAACGGAAAATTTCATTAAACTTGACAAAAAAGACGTAGAGACTCTTTTGGAATGAATTAAGGCTACGAGGTCGTTCATGCAAGTTAAGATTTAAAAACTGAATGGGTCTATGAATACACATGCTACATTGATCTTTAAAGACCCAAATAAGCTAGGCCCGTCCTACCTCCAAAGTATGTTGTTGTTCCCCAAGATAAAGCCACAAACAATATATTATCGTATACTTTATGTTTACCTGCTATTAGTGGTACAGGATCTGCTTTGCTTGCACTCACGGTTTTCTTGTTTCGCAGACATTGGTTATCTCGTAATGTTTTGTAGACTTTTGTTTTCCTTGTCGTAATTTTTTTCACTTATATCATAGTGTTTGTCTTGTTTTTCTTCGATTCATGTTGTTTGATTGTCGCCTTAGTTACTTCGGCCTATTTTTATAATTTTGAAATTCAATTATAAATAACTGGATAAAAGGAAGTTTAAAAGGAACAAGGCATCTTGGTTTTTATATAAGCGTTTCCTGCTTTGCATGCATTACAAGCCATGCAAGTGCAGAGTCAATCAAAAGGTCACGATAGGGAATGTGTCAATATATAAAAGATACTTATAATGATAATATGTATTATAAAAAAGGTTTGTGAACTTTTGCCAATGAGACAAAAAGAGACAATACTGGTTTCCAGTAAATGGCAGTGACTGTAAAATTAACACATTTATTTATGAAATAAGGGTTGATATTTCCAGTGGTGTCCTTCCAAATGTTTTCAAAAAGAAAAACACACACAACAATAACAAAATATATTTAAAATCATTTATTTCCTATCCTGGTTTCAAGTTTGTTTGATTTGAATGGTTTTTGTGCAGCTGTATAAAATAGGTTCTAGCATTAGTCTTTTGATTTAGGCTTCCAATATGCTTTATAATCAATACTTTTCAACATGTCTATAGTCGTTAACAAAACCCATAATATTAATATGTGTGATGTATAAATGAATTGAACGCACGCCCTATGCAATTTAAAATATTATCACATTTCTTTACAAAAAAAAATCTTAACATTTCGAATTAACTGTTGCGAGATATAAAAGAAAGTTATGAATGGGCTAAACGCGGGGAAAAAAAGACGCAAATACTGTTTCCGAAGGAGCTAAGACTGTGAGGTTATTGATACAAATTATAATTAAAAAACTGAATTTGGTCTTATACATATGCGACATCGACCTTTTAAGACCCAAATGTTTGCTAAGGACCTGTTCTACATCGACGACAAATGTATTGTTGTTCCAGCAGATAGAGCCCCAAACAACATCGTTTGTGTGTGTAAATCACATCACATAAACTGCTTGATAAAGTAATTTGGTATTGAAAATTCACTTGGAAACTCAAAATATACTCCCACAACATATACGAAGGAGGAAATCCTGAATAATCATAGGTCTGTTCTATGTTCCTTTGCTTTGGAATTTCTACAAAAGATAAAGAACTGGATCTTCCCTCACTGTATTTGATACCTAAATTAAATAAGTGTCATTACAAACAAAGTTATATTGCTGGGTCTCCCAAGACCTTCTAGAAACATCTTTTTTAATCATTAACACCAATTTTATCAAAAATCAAAGACAGAATTTAAATGATTGTGAAACTACCTACTCTAGGGGCTGCTTGAATCAGATGTGGATAATTAAAAATTCCAAAGATCTGTTAGAGTACAAAAAATCTTACTTTATTTTCTCTTGCTATAGTATTTCAACATTGGATATGTCTACCCTTTTCCCTTTCCAATCTAAAAGACATATTAAAAGAATTGTTCCGCCTTTGTTTCATAAAAAATTAATGGCGAACGAAGATGCATGTATATTATTTAAGGGAGGGGATAAATCTTACTTTTTAAAAGAATATTCTTGATCGGCATTATATTTGTAACGATTGGAGGACGTGTTTTTCAACAAACAATCGGTATTCCCATGGAAACCAATTGTACTCCTCTTCTTGCCGACTTGTTTCTTTATTCATATGAGGCTGATTTTATACAGAAGCTTCTTAGGAAGAATAAAAAAAACTAGCATTACCGTTTAACTTCACGTTCCTCTATATAGATGATTTCCTCTCACTAAATAATTCTAAGTTTGGTGACTATGTTGAACGCATCCAACAAATCGAACTTGAAATAAAGGACACAGTTACGTCCGCCTCATATCTTATCGGTTGAGAACAAAACTTTACGACAAAAGAGATGATTTCAGCTTCCAAATTTGAAACTTGCCATTTTTATGTAGCAATATTTCAGCAGCGCTTGCACATGGAGTATATATCTCCCAGTTGAACAACAATAAACAACTGTCATACAAGTTGGGGGTTTAACTAGCAATAAAACCAGGATTAAACACCATATTCTTCTGAAAATGCCCTTACCAAGTCAAGAATATGACAGTTGTTTTCCACACGTTCTTTTGGTTGATTACGTTTGATTGTGTCCGTTTAATTGACTTCCCAATTTTTGAATTTTATTTCGGTATTTTTGTTGTACCTGTTTTGAAACAATATTCATGAGCTTGCATTTCCTATCATGATTTCCTTGATAGAAGGTTGCTGCTAACAAGGACGCTGTTGAAGCAAGAGTTCCAAGTGGTGAAGTTGAAATTATCTCTTTGAAAATTTTACGGACATCATCACGAGTTTGTTAACCGTTATGGAATATCTGTATCACAGATGACGACGGATTTGGTCTAATTGTCGTAACCATAAATCCCGTTCTCTTTTCCACGAACGTGACCTACCGAATTATACGCATCACCGGATTGTACTTACATTAGAAACACTACAGGTGGAACAGGATCTGCTTACCCTTCTGGAGCACCTGAGATTACCCACAGTTTTTCGTTGAGTTTGTGGTGCTCAGTCTAGTTTTCGACTTTTGAGTATGAATATCACTTTGGAATCTTTTGCCTCTCTTTTATCAACCATGTCAGAACCGAATCACTGAATACTTTGTTAATGACGTCGTCGATGCAATCGGGTCAAATTCAGATGATGTTTAGGCCAAAATAATTGGCGTGATAAGGAACTTTCGGAAGTGCTAAAAAATATGATAAAAAAGAACAGTTGAATTGTTATCTGTTATATAAAAATGACGATATTGTGAACGCTCTTTATGGGATAATAATAAAAGGAACCCGTATTGATCATAAATTAACGACACTAGAGAGTGATATTATGGATGGTAGGTTAACTATTGAAGAATGTACAGATTCATTAATTAAGATGAAATTGAACAAAGCACCTGGAATTGATGAATTAAGCGTAGAATGTTTTATAACCTTTTGGGAACAATTAAAGGACTTCATTGTATCCACATTTAACTTTTCATATAAAAAAGGGGAGTTAACTAGTTCTCAAAAATAAGGAGTTATCCCTCTTATCTATAACAAAAAAGTATTCACTTTGTTAAGGTAATTATAGACCAATACATTTATCAAACGTTGAAACAAAATTAATTGCATATTCTTTAGCTCAGCACATCAAAAACGTGTTACCAAACATTATCTATGAAGATCAAAATGGTCATTTCAAAATACATATATCGGTTATAACATAAGACATATTCAGAATATAATTGATTATGCAGACAAATTCAATATAGAAGGACCATTATTGTTTTTAAACTTTTCAAAAGCTTTCGGCTCTTTAAAATTGGATTTCATGTTCTTAGCTTTTAACAATTTGATTCAACAGTCTATGCTAAAATGGATAAAAAAAACTTTATATACATATATTAAAAGCTCAGTGATCAATTATGGGTGGATATCTGAACCCTCAACATTCATCGAAGGATTGGACATGGATGTCCGTGCAGTGCTAAAATTTTTGTTATTGTTGTAGAGATATTAGTATGTAGGATAAGGCAAGACCATAATTTTAAAGAATTAGAAATCAAGATAGATGGGGAAAACACATTTATTAAAATTCAGTCAACTTGCAGATGACACCACACTTTTCTTAAAAAAAGACAATTTAAAAAGAGGGACGAAAGATACCACAGGGACATTCAAACTCATAGTCGAAAATAAACTGACAACGCCATGGCTAAAAAAGAAAAAGACGAACAGAAAAACAATAGTACACAAAGCACAACATAGAAAACTACAGACTGAGCAAAACGAACCCAACCAAAAACTGGGGGTGATCTCAGGTGCTCCTGAAGGGTAAGCAGTGTTA